TAGAAAAAATAATAAAGGATTTAGACACCATATTATTAGTTCCCAACAGCTGATGGAAAGGTGAAGCATTACTGTAGGATACACATGGAGAAATGGATGATGTAGCACAACTCTCTGGTCCATAGCACATTTTCCAAAAGCAAGTCCTGACACAACACAGGGCATAACAGAGTACCAAAGCCTCTTCCAGGAGTTAGAACCATGAGAAAGGATAACAAGAAGACCCTGTAAACTGAAAACATGAGAAGTGGTGCACACAGTTTGTGACCCATAATCTGACACACAAACCACTAGTTCATGGTCTCTGTTGTAACATCTCTTGAAGCACACAAGAAGAAGGACAGAGACTAAACTTACCCCAAGTACTACAGCCAAAACAGTGAGTCATTCTGTGGTACTAAACCTTCAACACTTCTAAAACTGTACAAGCCTGACAACTCTCAGGAATCCTTCATAATTTGCATCATCCTACAGCTGTTAGTAAGAATGGCTAAATTTATCAATCTCTCTTGATATTAATGAAGGAAAAATCTTCTTTGCAGTTGCTCCTTTTCTTCCTCTCACCTACTCACCAGGTACCCCTCTGTGTCACAATATTTCCTTAGTCTTCTCCACTAAAGTTAATATTTCACAAAGTAGAAATAACAATAATATTATAAGCTTTTTTTATTACTTGATTAATGTCTAAAAAACAATAGATTTCCATTTCTGAAATTCTAATTTCTTGGAATCCTGTAATCTTGTACAAATTGATTTTTAACATGCTGATACTTGGCCCACCTCTAATGTTTCTTATGGCCAAAACTAATTCAGAAGCAAGATTATCATATAATAAGCCATAAATTATTATTAACAATATAATATTGGCTAGTTTTTATTCATAGAAAGTTACTGCAACTGTCTCACCTGTGGGTAACATCGATGAAGTATAACTAATGTAACAGACACAGCCAAAGGGTTAAGGTCTTAATGCCTTCGCTAGGAGACGAGACCCTGAGCAAAATATCCAGACTACAACCGTACAACTCCCTAGTCTTTCCCTCTCATCCAGGATCTACTCTTTCCTTTATTTTATCATTACAGTCAACCCTCACTTTACGCGGTCCCACATTCCGCGTTTCCACGTTAACGCGGTGCCCTGCCAGAACCTAATGTGCTCACATTACGCGGTGCGTGAACCCCATTACGCGGAGAGTGTCCGGCGCGACGCTATTCTTAGATTCGCCCCACCCGCCTGCCTGCCTGTGCTCTCGCCTCTCCCTCCTCCTCCCTCCGTTTGGGCAAGCCGCGCGGTAAGGTTGCGCAGTGTGTGTCTTTGTTGCGTTATCACTGACGTCATATGACGTATCGGACTGTGATTGGCCATGCATCCCTACCCCCCTCTGCTGCTAGCTGTAATTGGCTTAAAGTATTATGACGTGTCCACCTGGGGGAGTGAGGGAGGGAGGGAGGGAGGGAGGAAAGACGATCCTTGACCTAGCCACGCCAGTTTCATCCCTCCACGCCAGACCGTGTAAACGTGCATCCATTGTTCTCTAAAATGGCTTCCGCCGGACCACCACCCCCAGAGAGAAACCTTTCCTTACCTGGACCCAGCGGCACTAAGCCAAAGAAGACACGACGTTCCTTAAGCTACAAGGTGAAGTATACCATCATCCAAGAGGTGGAGAAAGGAACAAGGCAGGTTGATTTGGCGCGCCAGCATGGTGTGAATGAATCTACGATTCGAACAATAAAGAAGGATGCAGCCAAGATAAAGGAGCACATGAAGATCACAAAGTCTACAGGTGCTTCTATGATCAAGTATTTTCACAACCAGGTGCTTCTCAAGACAGAAAAATTACTTGTGAGGTACTTGGTGCGTCAGGCGCAACGGAACATGGCGGTCGACACGCGCTCTGTTAAGGAGTACGCACGTGAACTGTACATTGCAGTGGCACGAAAGATGGGAATTACAGAGCCCAAACCCTTTAATGCTTCCTCTGGGTGGTTACAGAGGTTTAAGATCCGGAACAAGATCACCAATATAAACATTGGTGGTGAAGAAGCGAGTGCTGACCGTGCTGCGGCTAGGGAATTTCCTCCGTTTTTACGTGAGATTATGGAGGAAGGACAGTACAGTGACGACCAGGTGTTTAACATGGACGAATCTGGTCTTTTCTGGAAAAAGCTACCTTCCAAGTCCTTCGTTGTAAAGAATGCCAGCAAGATTCGGGGCCGGAAGATGCAGAAGGAACGCATCACCGTCCTGTTTACCACCAATGCCTCCGGTACCAGTAAGCTCAAGTTATCGGTGATCCACACAGCACGCAAGCCGCACGCCTACAAAACCATGGACATGACCAAGCTAAATGTCCACTGGCTGACTGCACGTAAGGCGTGGATGTTCTCTACACTGTCCCTCTCCTGGTTTGATGACTGTTTTGTTCCCGATGTAAAGAAATTCTGTGAGCGACAGAATGTGCCATTCAAGATTTTGTTGCTGCTGGACAACGCACCAGGACACTCGCCCCTACTGTTAGATCGTCACCCCAACGTAAAAGTGGTCTTCCTTCCTCCCAACACTACGTCTATATTACAGCCCATGGACCAAGAGTTAATCTGTAATGTAAAAGCTGCATTCTCTATGAAAAAATTCAAACTCCTGAACGACTACACCAACACCAGGGAAGAGTTGCGAACCTGAGTGACACCACCACCGATAGCAAGAGCGAAGAAGATGAGGATCAACAGTTGGCACAGCAAAAAATACTGTTCAAACAATTCTGGAGAGTATTTAACATCAAGAAAGCTGTGGACTTCTTGGTGGAGTCATGGGATCAGCTGTCTATTGCTACAATTCGTCACGCATGGAGACATGTGTTGCATGGAATACCAGGTGAGAGGAGGAGTCAATCTGTGACTGGTGAGGTTCAGACTGTTGCAGTAGCAGTGGACCTTGCCAGAGAAGCTGCGCAGACTGTTACAGTTCCAGGCTTCTCCGAGACCACCAATGACGACATCCTGGAGGTGATAATGGAACCTGCTGTGACTACCGACGAGATGGTAGATGATGATGACGACGTCAGTGAAGAGGCAGGTGGTGCGTCATCCCAAGAAGAACAACACTTATCCCATAGTAATGTTAGGGGTGCCATCGAGTGTATCGAGAAAGCCAAGCTCCTCCTTTCCGACGACCCTGACGCAAACAGGTATGAAATCTTCACTACCCAGCTGTTGCAGACTATGGAGCCCTACATCAAGGTGTATCACGATAACATCAACACCAGCCGTCAGCAAAGCATAACAGATTTCTTCGCCCGCAACCCACCACAGCCAGCCCAAGCCAGTGATAGTGACAGTGAAGATGACTTTGAGGGATTTGTCAGGGAAGCCCTGACAACTGTAAGTGACAGTGATGGTGATGCACCTAGTAATGGTGATTCACCTGAGGGCCAGTAGCCTGCCCTCTGCCTCAGAACCAGCCTCCATCCCCGTACGCCGACCCATCTCTTCTACTAACGTAAGTGTTCCACGAAACTTTTAGTTTTCCTAACCTAACCTTTATTTTTCCTATGTTAACCTTTATTTTTCCTAACCTAACCTCTTCTATATTACTTGTTTTTTCATACCATCATAAAGTTAAGATAAAATTTTTACTGCAACATAGTTGTGTGTCGTCAAAAAGTGGAGTTTGGGGGTCGGCCTGGACTCTATTTCAATTAATCCCATATGTTATGTTATTCACTTTACGCGTTCCTCACTTTCCGCGGGACCCTGCGGGTTACATTAACCGCGTAAAGTGAGGGTTGACTGTACATTATTAATCAACATTTGGATGGATATTCTTTAATCATTCGAGGAGCACCTTAATCGTCTAAGAGCCAATAACACCAGTATTTGACCCGTTTCCCACATTTACCCTTTAATAAAGATATCTTGCTTTTATTCACAAATAGACTGTCATAATGTAACAATCTAACAGTGTCTTCCCTGTCAGCTCACACTCCTCACACCTAGTACAGTTGCTGTAATAGCTAAGCCTCCTCCACCATAATATCTACAGGTCTTCAAGTGTACAGCTGAAGGTACTGTAGCTCCTAATATGTAGTATTATCAAAATTCTTTTCTCCAAGTTAAACAGCAAGCTGTACTTAAATGTAGATTAGTGTTAGCCACACCATTATGTAAGTCACTATAGTACTTATAGTCCATCTCCTACTACTACTACTTACTATCAAGAAAGCACCAAGTGTGCTTCCTGTTTCTGTTAACAGTACTGTACTGTATAGTGAAAGAGGTTATGGATGAAGGGGTTAAATCAATGGTAATGGTAAGTGATGTTACTGGATAATAAAGGTACCATGCAGTATACTTCCAGTTATTGGAGAATGTTATATAAAAGAAGAAGTAAGAAGATGAATCAAGTAAAGCGAACATTAAAAGGGTATAATGTACAGGTAAATAATACACTCCTCATGCTGGATGACTATAACTTAGGACACATAAAGCACAGCATAGTACTAGGTTTAGAGAGTGATAAGGATGACAACTGACAAGCTTAAAAACCTAAATATGTATCCTTGGGTTTAGTTTAAGGATCTCTCATCTATCTGAAGGTCTCCCCTGATCCATGTTGCTTCTTAACCCTTAGGCCCCGGGGGACGTTCCAGAACGTCCGTCTATTTTCCAGCCATTTTTTATGGAAAAGTTTATTTTTTTCTAGATTTAACCCCCCCTGGGGGGGGGGGGGTAGGGGTACTGCCAGCAGCATCCTAACCCGGGGCTTAAGGGTTAAACAGGTGAAGGTATGTAACTTGTCTTTATATTTCAATCAGTGTGTTTAATTTTAATACTATAAGGTATATTTTCACTACAGTTGAGTTACTTATGATGAAAACACATCTATCTAACATCAATAAAATACACAAACTACTGTACTGTAATGCTCCCTCTCTCTCACACACATGCATGCGCACACACACACACTTATATTACATCTTAGACAAAGTTCACCCCACCTGACTCTGAGTTGATATTGCCGCTCTGGTGATATCTGTCAGCATAGTGCGGGACTCTTGCAAGAACCTCTCCCGGTCCTGGTTCAGTTGTGCGATGGCCTGCAATAACTCAGTCATTAGCCTAAAAGAACTAAGGTACTATTCATAATCATTAGCCCCTTAAATTAATTAAATCTGGATGATAAACAAATACAGAGTGGGTGAGAGGCAGAAAAGCATATACAGTGGTCCCTCGATTAACGAGCACAATAGGTTCCACAGTCGTTCGTTAACCAAAAATTTTGTTCACTGAATCTATTATTTCAATGGGATATTGGGTAATTGGTTCCAACTCCCAGAAAAAGTACATACAAAGTACTGTATACTGGTAATAGAATTAACAAAACATTAAATATAAACTAAATACAGTTCTGTACTGTACAGTATACTGTACAATAATAAATAAAAAAACAATAGAATACTGTATTTTAACTTACTTTGAGGTGTGTATGTCATACTCCCAGCAGCTTTGTTTACATATCAAACACCTGATTGTGGAGGCAGTTGATGATGGCATGCCATATTCTTTACAGAATGCATTGGTTCTAATGCCTTCTTCATGTTTCATAATAATTTCTGCACTGTATATTATCAATATGTGAACTAAATTAGAATGACCAACAATTTTAATACAAAAAATGCAAAAATATTCAAGAGCACAACTTTCTTGATATTTACTCCACTGGAAACGAATGTAAACACAGAACCGATTACTGTATTGGCGGACTGGCCAATCAGTTGATGCGCACAACAAAGCGTACTTCTCGTAAGGCTTTCGTTAATTGAAGTTTTGTTCATTATTGGAATTGAAAATCATTATGGGAGTTAATTCGTCAACCGAAATTTTGTTAATCGAGGGACCACTATACTGTAATGAATGCATCTTGTGCCACACGTCCTCAACTAAAGCACCACGTGAAAAAAAATAAGTTTTCTTTATTATATCTCAATTCAGCCCCATGTTTATTATTATCCTTGTCTCCTATCTCTTATTTTCATCAACATAGTTCTTCTCTATTGCTTCATTAATTTATTAACATCATTAAAATGGCCATAAAGTAGTAATAATAATGATGATGATGATGATGATAATGATGATTTTCTGTATTAACCTTGCAAGTGTCACCTGAGTGAAACATAAATAATACAATTACATGGGGTAAATGATATAAAGACAAACCATTGGAAAACTCCCATGAAACCACCATCAAACACAATGGTAGGTCATATTGTTCAAAGTCGACACATAACTGAACCAAATGAAAACCTACTTTACTTCCTGTGATTAATTTCCTTGACAATAACTTATTTTTGTTTTGTAATTCTGTCGTGCAATAACCTGGGGTTATTGGTCAAGTGAGAGAAATAGAACGATACTGGCCATGAGACCCCACAAGAAAGACCATTAGCCACTCCCATCTCCTGAACCCTTCCACCCAGATTAGTTTCAGAGTGGTAAAACTTCACGCTACGGCTCAAAGCTTCCAATAAGCACTTGGAGTTAATCTTCTAGTTGAAAATTACCACTGGTCAGGTCTTGGCCACACCACTGGACAATGGGAGGAGAGTTATAGTCAATAATATAACCAACTTAATTATAACCAGTTGGAGCTACAGAACCACCAGATGATGTGCAGGTTATAACAGCAACAAAAAAGCAGAGGTCATTACAACAAAAATAATAATATGATGCAACAATAACAACAAGAGGCTACAACAATAACAAGAGGCTACAACAATAACTCATACAACAACGAGGTTAAAACAACAACAACAATAAGAGGCTACAGCAATAACATCAAGAGGCTTTAACAACAACAACAACAGCATGAGGCTACAACAACAATAACAACAACAACAACAACAAGAGGCTACAACAACAATGAGGCTACAACAATAATAACATGAGGCTACAACAATAATAAGAAGCTACAAAAACAAGAGGCTATAACAACATGAGGCTACAACAACAACAATAAGCTACAACAAGAGGCTATAACAACAACATGAGGCTACAACAACAACAAGAAGCTACAACAAGAGGCTATAACAACAACATGAGGCTACAACAACAAGAAGCTACAACAAGAGGCTATAACAACAACATGAGGCTACAACAATAACAAGAAGCTACAACAACAATAACAAGAGGCTACAACAACAACATGAAGCTACAGCAATAACAAGAAGCTACAACAACAATAACAAGAGGCTACAACAACAACATGAGGCTACAACAATAACAAGAAGCTACAACAACAATAACAAGAGGCTACAACAACAATAACAAGAAGCTACAACAACAATAACAAGAGGCTACAACAACAATAACAAGAGGCTACAACAATAACAAGAGGCTACAACAACAATAACAAGAGGCTACAACAACAATAACAAGAGGCTACAACAATAACAAGAGGCTACAACAATAACAAGAGGCTACAACAATAACAACAAACAATAACAAGGCTACAACAATAGCAACAGAGCTACAACAATAACAAGAAGAAGCTACAACAATAACAACAAGGGGCTACAACAACAAGAGGCTACAACAATAACAAGAAAAATTTCTATATAATAACAAGAAGGCTACAACAATAACAAGAAGAGGCTACAACAATAACAAGAAGAGGCTACAACCAGCCAACAAGAAGTACAACAATAACAAGAAGAGGCTACAACAATAACAAGGAGGCTACAACAATAACAACAAGAGGCTACAACAATAACAACAAGAGGCTACAACAATAACAACAAGAGGCTACAACAATAACAACAAGAGGCTACAACAATAACAACAAGAGGCTACAACAATAACAACAAGAGGCTACAACAATAACAACAAGAGGCTACAACAATAACAACAAGAGGCTACAACAATAACAACAAGAGGCTACAACAATAACAACAAGAGGCTACAACAATAACAACAAGAGGCTACAACAATAACAACAAGAGGCTACAACAATAACAATAAGAGGCTACAACAACAATAACAAGAGGCTACAACAATAACAACAAGAGGCTACAACAACAACAAGAGGCTACAACAATAACAACAAGAGGCTACAACAATAAAAAGAGGCTACAACAACAACAACAAGAGGCTACAACAATAACAAGAGGCTACAACAACAACAAGAGGCTACAGCACTAACAAGAGGCTACAACAATTACAAAAAAGGCTATAACAACAACAAGAGGCTATATGTTACCGCCGACGGGAAACCACTTGGACGGTGTTAATAACTTGTTAGAAAAAAGCTTTGGTTACAAGGTAGTGAAGATATGAGAGAGAGGAGTGAAGCAAACTCTGTGGCTGTTTACCCTGAGCTACCCTGGTATTTACTGAATACACGATTCTGCAGATGACATGGCCATGTCTGCGCAAAGGGATACACCGAGACTTCCCGGTCAGACTACTTCTTACAGAAATACTGTGAACAGCTAAGACCTCTGCTGGCATCAGACTCTTAACACATAGGTATGATTGTGATGTAATAAATATGTGTCTACAATAATTATGGTAAGACTTTATATCATGTGTTGAGGAATTGATTCATTGATAGCTTAATGTGGTTCTGTCAGGGTGATTAATGTGAAGATGAAATAAGCAGTAGGTTAGGTTAGGTTGAGATAGGTGTATGTTTATGTATGTATATTTTGTATGTATATTATGTATGTGCTCCATTTATATACTATTTATTCAGCCTAGCTAGTAGCGTGTGGCAATGTATTTATCAATGTCCCACATGCCTAATTAATGTGCCTGGCGACATATGGAAGCTGTTAATGTATCACTTACCATACGTCGCCTAGAGAGCAGTTGACCAGCAGACAGAGTAAGGAACGCTACTCCCCTTGTGTACATATCTCTTATCCAGTAAATAGAACCTACAAACTATACAGGTGTTTGTGTTCGCTCCTGTATACAGAACTTAATACCCAGAACACGAACATGGCGCAGTGTGTACTTTTACTGGATAATTACGAGTGAAGTGTAAAGTTTGTGGGAAGCGGGCTTATGGACGTCCTTCTCTGCGTCAACTCACCGCAGCTGTCTCCTCAAAGAATTTAGCAACTTTGAGCAGTGTCAGTGACAGTGATTTTCTGTGCAGTTTTTAGTGCATTGTGTGTTTCGTGCCATAAATGTGTGACCTTGTTCTAAAGGATTCCCAAGGTACAAGGCATGGTCTGGGCATTTGCAAGGAATAGACTTGAGTACACCTCCCCTCGCGAAGCCTGGAGGGTAACTGACGCTAGTCGTCGTCTCCACCCCCCTCACAGCGTCGTCTCCACACCCCTTCACAGCTCAAGGAGAGTGCTCTCGCCCGCCCAACACACACACACACACACTGACTGCGGCTATCCCTTTATTTATATTTTATATATATAATCTACTTATCTGTGTATTTAATTAATTTTTTGTCTGAGATCTTGTTGATACGACGGGCTGACCGGTCAACACTGATTTAAGACACAGTACACAGATGATGTAGTAATGTCTCGTGCCTTACGCAGTCGTGGAGCCAACGCCCGGATGAGTCAATCGGATGACAGCTCTACAGAGATGGATGACCAGGCTGACCATGACGCTCCAGCTCCCACCACATCGCGCAGCCCTTCACCTCGAAATTCAGCATTGTCGCCAGAGATAATTGCTTTAATGAAGTTTATGAGAGATGAACGGCGTCACGACTTTGCTAAAAGACGTGTGGAGGACGAAGAAAGAAGACAAGCAGAAGCAGAGAGAGACCACCAACGAAGATTGGAAGACAGTGCACGGTTTGAAGCTTTGATATCTCGCCTCACTGTTAACCAAGCCCCTGGCTCTAACACTGCCTCGGTACTGACTGGTTCAGATACCTCACGCCCCCCAGCCCCACCTAAAGCGGCTGCTCAAACACCGCCCGTTTTGAAGCCTGATGTGAATTTCCAGACTTTTCGTGAATGGAGGCGACGGTGGACTGATTATGCTACAATGGTGGATCTCCAGAGTTTGTCACAGCCTAAACAACTCATTCAGCTGCGCATGTGCCTGTCCTTGGAAACTCAGC